CCGCGTAAGTGAATTTGGATTGCACCTACTGCTGTTTATATGTGTGAAGGAACTGTCGATACGTTAAACGTTTGACTTGTAAAAGTATAAATCTGTCCTATGCATATCACTAATCCTAGTTTCTTCTACTGTCGTATACAATTTACACTGTAGTCTTTGTAATGCTTCCGCCTGCTATAAGTTACTATGTGCTACGCTGTAAGCTAAACTTATTCTATGAGGATTAACCAATTGCTATAGTCGAAGTAGATGGGACATTGTTTGAACTTCGGTATACATTGTTTGAAAGCTAAACGCTTCAGCTCATAAATCTGTCGCAACTTTACAAATTTTAATTTTGCATCTCAAACTAATATGGCTGGGGTATCCACAAGATTGAACATTGGCTAACATTGGTATGTAGAATATCATCCTGAGAATTGCATTAACCAGCCGAAGTTTGGATCCATAACAAGCTTGTCATGTAAACGACCGTTGTACAGAAGAGATATATTGAGTTTTCACGGGAGCCTGAGATTGATAAGTAAGATAGAGAATTCACAAAGTTTGTATGGCGTCACATTTCTTAGCCTTAGATTTATGCCTTCTAACGCGTATACCTACATTTTTCTGCGATTATCTATCTCGCTCAAAAAACATGCACATTTTTACTTTAGGTAACTCTTGTGATTTACGTCTTGTACGCGTTTATCTTCAATTGGCTCTACCAGATTGTCATCTGCAGTTTCTGATGTCTGAATGCAATCAACAAGATACATTTGGCGGTTTTGACATAATGAGTGAAAAGCTAGTAAGAGAAATCACTGATTATATCGATGAGATGGATGATGAACCGAAGCGAATAAGGTGAGTGTTGTGATTATCATTTTGGTTTTATGGTTGAATTGTCCTGCACATATCATTGGCACACATTTCCAAATCGTACATACCGTACAAGGGCATGTTACATCATACACTACACTATCAAGTCAAAGCAAATAGGACATTGTTTTAACCCAAAGTCCATAAGTTGAATATCAGGTGTTTAAGTCAGTGAGTTTCACATGGATATTTGCAAAGGCCATCTTCACTATGTTTCGTGCTTGTTGCATTTCCATGGTTTTTATGCATTCATTAACAGATGTTTTCATTGTATGCCACTCCATTGTTCACCCAACGACGTCTGTTAACCTGGTGATCGGACATACATACCGTAATGACTAAAAAATCTATTCTGGCCAACTTGACTGTTCATTATGATTCTAGTCCCTTAAATAGGCATCTTCTGATAAAGTTTCATGAGTATTTCTTCTTGTTTAGGATGGACATCAAGTAATTTTCTTCGTTTCTCCGTGAAGTTGTTGTGCTGCAGTGTGTTCTCGCTCTTCTGAATAGAGCCTGCACGCAACTGATCTTGCGGGTTGTTGCTACTGTAGTTGAGGACTTGGTCAATGTGTTGGCTGCCTGTACACTTAGGTTTCCAGCTTCCACGTATTTGTTCTATTGACCAGAACATCCAGGAATGGTAGTTGGTTGTTTGACTCCTTCTCCATTGTGAATTTGATGTCACTGAAAACGTTGTTGATCAAATTGTGGGTGGATAATTATGGACATGAATTCAGTTTTGACAATGTAGAAATTTTGGACAGAGGAAACACAAAAAAATATCAGAGAATTTTTAGAAGCTTGGCATTCAGGTCAGTCAGCAATCAACAGATGTATAGACATAGACCCAACCTATCGACCAATAAGAAAGATGATAAACGACAGAAAGGTCAGAGGTCAAGCAGAGGGACAGCCAACAGGAAAATCTATACAGTCAATGACACAACAATCGAAGGAAACAACCAATCGTAGGCCTCTTCGTCAAGGCAAGCTACTAAAGCACTCACGGAGAAATACTGACAGCTCATTTGATATTGAGGTTGGTGCTGATGATGTCGTCTAGAAGGACGATGAAAGCTTCACGATTAAACAACCCAGCTCAGAGAACACAATACAACCAAAACTTACACCATCTTTCTACATTTTGCAGTTCCTCAGCTCATGCTTGTGGTTTAAAATCACGGAATAGCGTCTTTATTCTGCTGAAATCTGTAACCTTTATTAAATGGGAAAGTGGCCTTCACTAACCTGGAGTGTATTACGTGGTTCATGAACTCACGCTGTTTAAAAGAAATGTCTGCAGAAACCTGGCGTGGTGGTTAACTTGACCTCGCCTTTCCAATAAGCTGAATCTACGAAATTTACCGATTGAGATTCTTTGATAGGTTCTCATTGTTGTGAAGATGGAGAGATGGAACTAAGTCTTATACTACAAAGCGCATTCCTATAGTTGATCCCTATCAGTAGCAATTTATGCATTCTGCAAGTGAATATCGCAACAAGAACTAATAAGTCGGGCGGCATATAGAGCTGTCATTTTGTATTCTGTACTTGCTCATCCATTGCCTGCACTTTAAATGAAGTGAACGATTAATTTTGCCACAAACTGTTTGACATACTATTATAGATTAATGCGAATACATTTTTGCAGGTTCCAAACTCAGAGAGGAGCGGAAGCGATTTAAATATAGAGGTACGAAGAGTCTACGTAATGACCGTGAGTAGTGGGTGAGTAGCAAAGGCTAAATATTATGAAAAACGGTAACGATAAGGCGTTGTGGATTTCAATTTGGATCAAAAAATGAGTTGGAAATATTGCCAGTTAGTAACAGTTTAGCTAGAAAAGATGAGTTAACAGTCCATTTACAGGGGAGAACATTACGTAGTTGACTAAAACATTTCAAAGAATAGTTCAGCTGGCCTCCAATTACTTTTCGCCGCAACACACTTGATGCGTTTTATCTTTTGTTTTGTTCAGGTAGGGCAGTTCGAGATCTTCGCCATTTCTTTCCCACAGCTTAACGTGTGTATATCAGGCTTTAGCTTTCTTATTCCTTATATTAACTGGTATTTTTTAGTTAAGTACATAACGGTTAAAGAGTTCGAATTGTTGACTATGTCTAACATATTAGCCTGTGACTTCTGTTTTAATAGTCAGACATTTTGTTAATCGACTCTGGAAGGCCTTTTCCCTCTTTCGTCATTGGTTCATTGTGCGGGAATCAAATTTTTGGTATTTCTCAACTTCACGTGGTTCGTGCATTTTTTTAAAGAAACAATTTTTTACTATCCGAAAAATACCGTTTTATTTATTAAAAACCAAAAAACAGACATATGATATTTTTATTATCGTTTTTCATACACAGGTGTTTTCATTTGTTTTCTATTTTGCAGTTTTATCGGACACAGTATGGGTTGTGTGATAATTCGTGCAGCCTTATTGGACCCACGTATGAAACCATATTTATCAAAATTGCATACATTCCTTTCTCTTAGTGGTCCACACTTAGGCACTGTATACAATTCCTCTGGTCTTATCAATATGGGTATTTGGGTTATGCAGAAAATTAAAAAATCTGAAAGTCTTTCTCAGTTAAGAATGAGAGATGATCCTGATTTACGAAACACATATTTATACCGACTAAGTACTAGTCCTGGTTTAGATTTGTTTCGTTATGTCCTATTGGTTGGAAGTCCTCAGGATCGTTATGTACCATATCATTCGACGCGAATTGAATTATGCAAAGCAGCAATCAGAGATCCTTCTGCTCTTGGTTAGTTTCCCTTTTGTTTCCGTCTGTAATCACTTTTTTTTATTCGTGTATACCCGTGGATATGATACGGGAAATGCCTCATCGGTTGAGAAATTCAAATTTCAAACAGTGAGTTACAGGTTAGCACCTCACTCCACCAAATTTGACTTGTGCAACCGGATATTGTGATTAGTACTCAGACAATCAGTGTGTGGTTCATTACCTACTTCATAAATGTATCGCATGATATTGTGTGATAAATAGTAACATGACAATATATTCAGAGTTATGTAGAAGTTTACCTTTAGCAACTATTGTACGAAAACGAGTAGTTTTTAAGTCGAAGTTACATCTCATCAAGCAGATAACAGAACAGTAGATCATCGATAGCAATTGGATTGGTCACAGGTAATCGTGATGGGTAGACTGCTCTGCATGTACATGAATGTGGAGTGAAGATGAAAAAAATGATCTAAATATAAAGATCTGAACAAACAACCTGAGAATTACGTGATGTGGTTAAACAGTTCACTAAATTAGCGATTTCTCAGTCTCTGATTCGTTGAAATTCATGTACGATACAGCTTTCTTTTTTATTCTAACCACTATGTACTCATAGATGGAGTTTAAAATTACTCTGTGTTCATTAAGTTCTCGTATAATTCATAGAAAAGCTTAAGATTTTCAGTAAATTCCAAACGGTCTTTTAAAATATTTCACAGCTTTAGTTATTGTACTGATGCGAAAAAATCATGACTATATTGCGTTTAGCGTAGTCGATATGAAAAAAACCAAACTCACCTCATGAAAGCTGATTCATTTATTATTGATGGCAGTATGCTTTTATTATCACATTGTTTGTAAATTATGTGTTGCATACTTGGTGTTACACACTGCAATGACTCGATCGGTGAGCTGTAAAGTGTAAACAATCCAGTGATGTACTCAAAATGATGGGGCAAAAACTTACTCATATCTAAACATATCATTATATTTCACCGACACTGACTGAGGTATTCTTAGTTTAGCCTATAAGCCTACAAAAAGTTGAAGGATAATCTTGGTTAAAATGAAAACGCATCACAGCTGAATTCGAATGGACAGGTTTCCGGTTACCGACCCCACTTTGTAATGAGTATGTTATCAGACCCAACTATTGATCAGGTCTTGATTTCACTTCAGTCGCAGTAAGTTTTATCCGACTGTCATATGAATAAACGGTCAAGAGTTATCTGTTTATCATGATCTTAGTTATGTGAGTCCTTCTCGTTCCAGTCCAATTGGGGATGAATTAGAGAAAAGAAAAGTCGGACTGATGGTTGATGAAACTAATTGCAAAGCCCAAATGGCAAGCAGTAATACTCTATTGCATAAGGGGCAACTTTTATGGAAAGAATAGCTCAATATAAGTGGAAAATTTGGGCGCTGGGGTAGAATGTAGTTCCGTATTAGATTCGTTTATTTGAAATAGGACACAATGATACAGTATTATTTCCTTGATGACGTTTCGAGCATAAATTATTTCTCATAATCATGTCATCTCATATTACACAGCTTTCGACATCCTATATGAGTATGAGCAATAATTTATCACCAAGTAAATAATTTTGTACCATTGTGTCCTGTCTGTGTCAAATAAACGAATCTGAAATTGCATTGTGTAACGCATACCAGCAATCCACCAACTTTCTTGATCAGTAATATTGAATGGAGTATACCTAAGCTGAAAGATAATTAATGGTGTCGACGACAAGATATGGAACTAATATTTAAAGTCTCTCACCGTTTTTCTGGTCCATGTAGAGGTCGAAGTCAATGATGTGTTTCGAATTAAAAACCGAAGAATTTTTTATATGCTTTCCAATTGACCATAGCGGTAGAGATATATTTTGCATGTCTTCTTATTTAGCTTCGGATGAATGAATAGAGACGGAGAGATTCAGTTATCAATCTCTCCTAACCAACTTTAGTCTAAGTATTGACCGTCAATAATATCATATCACTACTATGTGGTGTATATCGAATAAAGAAAGCATATAAAATTGGTTTGATTATACTCTTTAGTCATTATCTCTGTCGCAAGTAATATCGTCCCACATTGAAATCTTTCATCAGAAAATGTCAGATACTGGGTAGCATTTACTCGATGTAACATTTTTTTAAAAAAGATTTGAAAATCTCACTGAAATAACACGCGAACCTATAATAATCATCAGTTTGTAGAATTAATTTGTTTATCTGGTAAAGTAAGTTTTCTTACAATGAATAGTATAAACGCGTTCATCCAACCATTGTTCACAACTTGAAAATTGCTTTAGCATCAATTTATTTTTCTTCATCGCATACCATTCACAAGACGAATTTTTGTCAGTCAGGTGACTTTTTGTCTTAATGTTATCGTATCCACTGAAGTGTGCAAAACATTTCACTGGGCACCTCAAATACCACAGTGTTCTTTACATTAAGCTATTGATTGCGCCATGTACTTCATTAAAGCTTTCATGCTTTCCCGCTAATTCAAAGAACTGAATTCTCCATTCATTGTTTGCAATATCAGCTGTTTGTTTCTTCACTACGCATTAGTTATCATCTTGATAAGAAGTCAACAAGAATGGTGATGAAGGTTATGAGTTATGAAAAAGCAAATCACTAGTAACCACACTAACCTTGTGTCATGGAACACTCGATATTACTACTAATGCTACTCATTAAATTATTATGATCGTTATTGATATAACTTTAATTTCTTGTTGTGGTTATTATTAAAGGTGTTATCTATATGGAAATGGTTACAAATTTGCTACAACGTCTTATCAAGTCAACACGCACCGCTGTGGTTCGATATGATGTACATTATAGTTTAACTAATTCAGCGAATACTTTAATTGGTCGTGCAGCGCATATAGCTGTATTAGATTCAGAGATATTTTTAGAAAAATTCATTTGTGTTTCAGGAGCTAAATATTTCCGGTGATGATTCTGATATTCGTTTTCTTATCTCTCTACAATAATAATAATAATAATAATCTACTGCATGTGTACGTGCCCTTATTGGATATTCATCGGTGAGCTACAATATCGTATGCGATTGACCTTGCTGTGTAAGTCTTTTCCACTTTAATATATTCCATATGATAATTGTTTACAAAATAATACGGATAATAACTATCTACACTAGTCAATGGTGTGGTGATAAGTTAAGTTGCATAGTAGCTAAGTTTAGGAAGTCTCTAAATATTAATCTGGACCGCATTGGCAAATCTAGATCTCTTTAGGTTGGCGTCCACCACAGTAAATGGTTAGCGACCGTCCCTCATATTTCTCAACTGTATTCGTACCTTATATTCATCCTAGCCGTTTTATCACACTTTTTTATCTGCCCTGCTCTTTCTTGTGTCCTCTTAGCCTTCGATAACTTTCCATTTCTTTGTCTTTCATCTTGTTGCCGTATGGCTTAGATGTGACAACGTCAGCCGTTACACAGTCATACTCCAGGACTTCTAGTCTGCAACTACTACTGTAATGATCAGGAGTAAAGTGGTACAATGCGTCTACCACTTCACTAACTTGGGGAGTTGCATCAACCCGAACGGGCTGGTTGCTGACAAAATCTCACCTCGGATACAGAAGGCTCGATTGGCACTTTCCAACTTGCATCGTCTATGGCGCCGACTTGGAGTAAGCAGATGCTGTTGTCCTCCTAGATGAAGACGCTGACAAGATTCATAGTCTTCTGGACACATTGAGCAAGAAGTTCAGTATGTTTGGCATACCTTTCACACTTTCCAGATGTAAGATGATGCTCTAGGACCTGTCTACAGCTACTGCTAGTTTACAGATGAAGAGTGAAATCGTGCAGTACATCGATCACTTCACCTAATTGTGGAGTTGCATCAGTCCGAACGCGGAGGTTGCTGACGAAATCTCAGCTCAGATACAGAATGCCCGATTGGCATTTGCCAACTTGCGTCATCTATGGTGCTGACGGACGAGATATCCGACTATCATCTATCAAGAGACCACTATACTGCACTGCAGTTCGTTCCGTCGTGTTGTACGAATGTGAGACATGACCGTTGAAAGTAGAAGACATGAACCGGTCACAGGTCTATAAGCGCAGGTGTCTTCTTAGCACTGCTCGCGATTGGTGGAATCACCATGTGAGCAATGTTGAGATCAGACGAAAATGTATTAGGCAAGACATGCTAGTCGTTTGATGAGGTTGTGAACTTTAGTTGACTGAGATAGCTCGAACATGTATGCAGTGCGCATGCCGAGCGACCTATCACCTACTTGGACGTGCCATGCTACGGGATGTCGGATAAGTTTGGAAGAGAGTTGAGAGTGACCAGACAAAGACGTGGTACCAGTCGATGAAGACTCTTACTGCTCTCCTGAGCCGTGTGGGAAGATTTAAACCAGCTGACTGTTTGGGGTCGCGGAGACAGAAGGAATCAGTGTTTGAGGACTGTTGGAGACATGGCTGAAATTCTGTCACAATGGTGTAGACGTATTCACTCCTTGTTATCTTTTGAAGCTTGAATGTTTGCACTAACCTTTATCTTCAGATTGTTTATTCTCTCTCACACTACTTTGTCTATTTTAGTATCACTGTTATTCTATCCACTTGTTCTTTGTGTATTAATGTTGAGGTGTGGAAAGTTGAGTTGATGCACTTGTGCGCGAGGTTTCACGTTGAACCTGTCTCTCTGTCAGTATACTGTAGTGGCCTCAGTACTCTTCCAGGTAAAGTTTTGACTTTGAAAGCCTTGGTTTTAGTGTGGTCTGTTTGCTTTACAAGGGTATATGATTTCACTTAACCACATTATTTAAGATTGAATAAGGCTATGAGTGTCTGAAATTCAAGAATACGTTCAATCCACAAGTACTAATCAGGCGGAGACGAAAAGTGTAAATTAAGGTCAAGTAAAGTGGTATGATGAATAAAGATTTTACTCGCCCTTATTTGTTCTCTTGTTATCTTTGATTGTAACAATTTAGCAAATCTGTTACCAATCTGTTTAGCGTAGCTGTGAGAGAAGAGTTGATGATAATTTGGAAAATAAGTGGGACTGAGTTGGAAGTTTATAATAGCCAAATCAACAGGTGACAGTTTACCATGTGTTTTCTGTTTATTAGACTATCCTGCAGTGGGAAGGTGAGACTATTAACTGAGGGGTTCTCAGGTTTATAAATATCAATAATTGAAATCGTTTACTTGGAAATTTTAACCATCTCGATACCCTTCTTTTTATCCTGTCTTCTTGTATACAGTTTTATCTGCTTCAGTATCATTTGCATTACAACCGTACTTTTTCATTCATTGTATGTGTGATGTTTTTGAAATGGCGTAAATAAAAGCCATTTACCTGTAAACCAGTGTTTGAGGAGTGAAATGATGCTATTTACCTTCATGCGAATTGTATTGCTGAAAATCTACGCTTTCTGTTGAACCGTATCGTAACAGATGGAGTCAGGCTGGCTTCATTGTAAAAATGCAATCTATTTTTTTTTATAGTGTAAAATGGTTCAGAGGCTGGGAAAATTGCTTTGCGATAAAACTTTCCATATATATTGTGGTATTCAGTTGCTCATGTTTAAGTTGAGTAGTTTGCTAAAGAAATCTTCTCCAAGTAGTCTTCTTGAAAAGTTATTTATCAACGTTTTTTTATTCGGAAGAAACAAAAGTATATTTGACTCTTGCATGACACTATTGATTATGACCATGGGTGGCATCTCCTATGCCTGCAGTTATTGTTATAATCTGATTTGATTCTGTCTAACGAGTATTGTTGTAGAAATGTGGCGCGTAATCTATGGAATAGGTTTAGCTGTCTGATCACTGAGTATTTCAGAGATTTGAATTGCTGCTTTTTTTTAGATTGGCGACTATACAATATGCTTTTGAGTATAGTATTTGATTGGTTGTTTATTTGTTTGTTTGTTTTTGTGCAGAAATTCATTTCTTCACTCGTACACTTAATGGTCTGTGTCGTATCTTTTCATCTGTTGACGATACAAGAATCGAGTGGATTGTGTCTCCTCTCAACATCTTCAAAATCATCAGGTGAGGCGAAGAAGAAAAAGAATCAGATGATCATTTCCCAATGGAAAAGCGATTACAATCAGAAAAGTCCATTTCGTTAATGCATTTATATGTGCTTGTCGTACAGCTTTCCAACGCATTCACTATTGCTTTTGATTTATTTGACTACACACAAACATAAAAAATAAATAGGTTAAGTGGTAATTGTATTCATATACCATACTGGTGTTGCACAACATATCACTGTTGCCTAGTCACACCTGATTCACCTTGTGTTTTACTTTTCTTGTTCATCTACTCCATTTTCGGATTCTATTCATGAAAAAAACGAAGGGAATTCAATGGGACTACTAATTATGTTTACTGTTTCTTCTTTTCTTTTCCTGCCTTCCATCTTAGTTTGTTAGTTGTGTTGGCGTCCATAGATATAAATACCACTGGTGTGTGTGTGTGTGTGTGTGTGTATGTAGAGCTAACAATATATAATACTTTTTTCTAGTCTAACTGATGTAGTTGTGTTGCTTCTTTCTACTTCTCATCATGCGCACCACTTTGCAGATAACTCTGGGGAAAGCATCAAATATGTGCGTGTGTACGTGTGCAAAGAATGCAACGTGCATTGTTTACATTTGTTGACTGAATATTTTCTGCTATGGTCTTGACTATTTGTATTCTACGTACTGTATGTAGTAATGTTGTTGTTTCTTTTCTATGCTCACTTTTGCTTTTCTGATTGCTTATACTTCATTCCGACTGGCTATTTTGTGTTCCCTTTCTTTTGTATCGATATTGCTGTTGAAGACGGCAAGGTTGATGTGAGGAGGAGGAGAATGAGAATGGAAAATAGGCACAATGGATACAATAAGATTTCAAGTATTTTTATCATTATGCTAATATGTGATGACTTCTCATCGTTAACCTTCTTTTCTATTTCTAACTTCATTTGATAAAAGCTAATGACAAATAAGAATAAATACATTGATTTGGTACTGTTTCTTGGTGAATTGACACTTTTTAGGTTTGGTCATCTCAGATGGTCTCTGTTAGTAGACTTTTCTTACGATTAACATGATTAAGGTTGGAATAAAATTTTATCTTGTGATCGGTTTCGAATCAGTAAGCAACTACTCTATCTAATGACCCAACACTAACCAGGTTTCGGTTTTATTTTGATTTCTGAGAGTTTTACCTGGCTGTCAGTGAGTGATTCATAACAGTCCAGTCGCATCTGAATCTGAATAGAGCTGAAATTGAAAGGGATAAAAATAGGCCGGTTGTTAATTAATATATCTCGGTTGATGTATCACTTTTAATGTTTCACATTTACGTCTACATGAAACTAAGGTTGGTAGCTTATCATGGAAAGTATTCAGCCCGTTACAGGTATAGCCGTTTATTTCGATAGTGTGACTTATGCATTTCTGGTCTTCTAAATAACATCTGTTTGTACAGAAAAATCGATTTCACACTATCGAAGGTTTTCATTCCATCCAGTAAATTGCACTAGTTGTGACTGTTTGATAGGATAGATAGATATATGAGCAGACAAATGTTACTGCACTTGTAAAGTAGGCAGTTTCAGGTGAGAAGCGATCTATGTAGTAATTATTGTGGAGAACTGATAAACCTTTCTTGTGAATTTGTTAATGAACCGACATCGCTCCATGTTAGATTATTTATTTGATGTAGCCAGCACACAGTAACACTGTATAACTCACTGAATGACATTTCGAACAGAATTTATTGCTCATATTCATATATCAAAGTAATCATACGACTTTCAAACTTCCTTTACATAGTCCAACATTTCTTCATTCGTTTATTCAAATAGAAGTAAAACTTTCTAGATATCTGCAATATGTGTTGAATCATTCTTCTCCGGGTTGTCTGACCTAGCATAATCCTTTCTCGACACTACTAGTCCTTTTTCTCCACCTTTCATCAATAACTTGGCAAGAATATCTCAGGTTCCACTAAAGAAAATGTCAACTTACCGAGAAATGCTTGCCCCGTGATATAAGGAGCCTCAAAAAGAGTTTTTTCAGGTGGACGTTTCGCTGTTTGTTGAGTATTTTCACAGTTAACTGTTTACCACTGCTCCATGTGTTAGATGTTGATTGGATTTTAGAATTGTCACCATATCCCACCCCATAGTATGATTATGGGTCAGTGGATGCAGACCGATAGCCAATTTTTTAGTTCAAGTTATTTATCTTATTAGGGTCTAGTACTGTGTGCTTTACTAACTTTTTGTGTTCTAGTATTCTGACTGACCCAGATTAGCTGCTTTGACCCAAATACTTGACTTCACAATCATGACATGATATTTGATAGATTAGGTTGTTTTTCCAAATCGGCTCTACTGGATCTCTTAGCCTACAAAGTTTCTCTTTGAGCGAGTTTGTGGGTTTAAATACCACCTTAATCTCAGCTTTGTTAAGAATTCTACATAAAATTTTTAACACGCCTTCTTTATATGGCAGCACTACAGAGGATTTGAATTTCCTCTTGGGGATGTTGCCATCACCACTAACATTACCACTCCGTTTCTTATCAGTCCTTGGGAACGTTTTAATAAATTTTAGTGGGTAGTTATTAAGAATTAGTGTCTGTTTGATATGTTTCGTCTCCTCATTTAGGTTTTCTAACTTACTAGTCAAACTCCTAACACGATTACTTGGACATTTTATCAAACCTTGATAGATATGGGGTGAGATAATGTGAAATCGAGGTATCTAAGCTTCCATCTTCTCTCTTCTTGATTTCGCAATCTAACAGGTAATTCTCCTTCATTTTCTATTTAATGAGTGAATCAGATTGCACCTAATATCGAGTTAATGTGTGTGAAAAAACTTTGGGTGTGTTCTGATTTCAACGCAGTAAATATGTCATCTGCATATCGTCACCATACTTTAGGGCGGGATGGAATGTTCCTAATGCCATTTGTTCCACCATGTCCCTGGATACATATGCTATGACCGGAGCTATTAGGCATCCCATCGCTCCTCCTTCTGTTTCTTTATATACTTTGTCCTGAAATTTGAAAACCGTCAAACACAATCGCATCCGTAGCATAATTTCTTCGAACAAAACTTTAGTTCTATTTCTGAGTTGATGGTCAATGGTGAGTTCACTTACTGAAACATACAATATTAGATCCTAATAAGATAAGTAATTTAGACAAAAACTCGGCTATCGCTCTCCAAGCACTAACCGACAACCACACTATGGGGTTGGATATGGTGACAATTCTAAAATCCAATATACCTAGATGGAGGGAGAGATAAATCACAGAATCTTTGTTCATTGAATCAACACATGACATATAACAGGAATGATTCAACACATATTGCAGATATCTAGAAAGTTTTACTTCTATTTGAATAAACGAATGAAGAAATGTTGGACTATGTAAAGGAAGTTTGAAAGTCGTATGATTACTTTGATATATGAATATGAGCAATAAATTCTGTTCGAAATGTCATTCAGTGAGTTATACAGTGTTATTGTGTGCTGGTTATATCAAATAAGCAGTGTAATGTGGAATTATACAGTGTGCAAGTGTTACTCTTACTTGAAGTAACACCGTTTACGCTACCATTGTAAATTAGACACTATCTATAAGTGCACATCCTCCGTTAATTTCGTGTTCAAACATAGCATTGCCACTGTGTAACTAGTAGGTTACATCAGGTTAGCATTTACTAGTCGGTAGGGTTTCGCACTAAGCTTCCCACTAGATAGAGCAATGATTATTAAGTTTTTCTGTCCACTGCTTTTCAGAAAATGGATTGCCTTACTGGATCCATAAGTTGTATTTCGTCGAGTTATAAACAGAAAACAATTTTACTATTAAAGGAAGGAGTGTCTCATTCGGCTGAACTTGACTGGGTCAGTGAAACAAGCAAACCCCACCACTTCGTCGAAGTAGGATTCGCCTTCAGTGTAAATTGAGCCTCGATCTTCTCGTATTGATAGACTTCCACTTGGGGAAATTTATTTCCTCAGTTTACTTCTACTAACCTCTAAGATTTGCTACATATTTCTATGTTTGCACTATCCTATCCAAATATTTCTCTTTTTGAAGTGATTTCTTAGTCTACAGTTTATGAAGCGGCTGTAATTATTGCTTTTGGAGACTCAGGCAGACTAAACTTACTTTCAGTCTTTCTTTTTCTCTGTTTGAGAGTTCATGTTTTCTGGGTAGAGGAATGTGCATAGTGTGTACATTTCCAGTGTTGACCAAGTGAAGTTGTCCACAAAGTCCGTGTGCTGAAGTGTGTACTTATCAAAATACGTTAACTGATACTCAATGTATTTGGTTTAACACAGGAAATAAAATACTGGCACCTGGCAACTATATTCGGTATCTTAACGTCCTGAAATTTATTCGTTTCTTTATGTTAAGTTTCCGCTTATTGGTATGAACGAATATCATTATTATTCTAGACGTACTACATACTCAGTCATTTCAGCAAGTCTCTGTAGGAAAACAGTGGAGACCAACGATGGGTCTAACAGGAGCATTTATGAGCGTAAAGTAAATTCCGATAGCTTTAACACTACCACGCGAAAGTTAATTTGAAGTCAATAACTCCATAAATAAAGGTGATTCATTTAATAAAAAGTTAACTATAAGCATATACGCTGACCAATAACTGAAGAATACCCAATATTGTGTTTGGTTATTCACATCTACATCTCTAAGTATTGAAGGTTAAGAGTTTCTTACGTAAACGTACGAATGAAGTTCAGTAGAAATACGATCCTTTTATTGTCAAGTTGATAGGAAAGAAACCATCAACTAGTGCAGCTTTATACCGGAAAGCATTCGTAATCATAATCTTGGGTTGATAAATAAAGTTTAAATTTTCATTCGAAGAGATAATATCTTAGTTCTAAATACTTTTCAAGACAAGTTGGTTCTTTGAAATCATATTCGCCATACTACTAGTTTACATGAACCTACATGTACGTTTCACGGTGAAATACGAACAAAGCAAGAACGACTAACTTGTGTTCATTCGCGTTGTGCTCAACGATGACTAATGGTGACAAGCAACGGGAAAAAGTACACTGTTATACAGAAGACAGATCACCTTATTAATAAAATTGACCATGTAAAACATCGTTGGAATGATACTGGGACAGCAGTAATGAAAATTAGATGTTAATGATGGATAGTGGCTACCAGTGGAATCCAGAACAAGCGTTTTGTCCTACTTAAGACTCGTCAACCGGATTTACCTCCCTCCTAGGAAGTGTTTTTATTTTGTTTCCACCAGGACTGATCGCTTCAAACGATGGAGCGTTATCCACTAGGCCATTGAGTCATGATAGCTACCTCTTAGCAGTGGATATAGTTTGTATGATGTTGCTTGTATTATCCCATCGTTGATTGGACCGAATTGACTGGCCACTACTGACATTATGGGCTCCTGTGCGGTTGCCTCGATACTTCCGGTATTTTCAATCTTGATATTGTTTTCATAGTATTCGACCCAATTAACGACGGAAACGTACAAGTTACAGCACCAAGAAAACCCTGCTTTGCCCGTCGCACAAGAAGTGACTATCATGACTCAGTGGATAACGCTCTATCGTTTTAAATGATCGGTCCTGGGTTCCAGTCGTAGTTGGAAAATATCATTCACTATGAGGCAGGTAAATCCGGCTGATGAGACCCAGACAGGACGAAAGTCACGTCCTGGATTTCATTCTTAGCCACTATCCATCATAACTACAAAATTGAGTTGGCAAACAATACCAAGGCGTCCGCACAGTACCCCATATACCAATTGGTGGCCAATGAACGACGAAAACGTACAAGCTATAAAGTCAAGAAAGCGATGAGAATTAGACTTCTAAGTAATAGATGTCAGTCATGGATAAATAATCAGGATCTCATTGAAGTGGCGTTGTTATAGGTTGATGAAAACAACAACACTAATTGTAAGTCAGTATGTTAGAAATCATAATTACACTGCAATAAGTTAA